TTCCGAAGGCTTTGGAATGCAATAAAATGAACTTAACAGTGTTTGTGAAGGATTTACTTATATTCCAGACCTTTCTCCTCCCCCAATACACCACATACGCATGCATACGTGCATAACGGTAGCATTGTGGAGTGAATTGCGTAACTTTTAATCCACAGTTAAGGGATTAATTATAAACTGTACAAATTATCAAGATAAGTGTTAATTTTTGCATATAATTTTATATATGACAAGCCTGTGCGGTCACTGATGATTGTTAAACTTGTTCTTAGTTTAGTATTGTTAAATTAATTATAAAGTACATTGTATAGTACTGATACATTTATAAGTGTATTATATCAATATATATATATATATATATATATATATATATATATATATATATATATATATATATATATATATATATATATATATTTCATTATGTCAGAATGTGTTTTGTTTGTTTAATTTCAATACATTAATAATTTTTTTAAATAATCTTTTGTTTTTTACTTTTCAATATGCTCTTGCCCCGTAGGGGGGAGCGCCCCACAGTATGAGAAGCACTGTTTTAATGTAATTAAACATATTAACATTGTTTGATACAAAAATAATAGCAATATCAGCGTTCTATAATAAATATCCTCAGCATCCACATGGACATGCAAAGATATTTCGTAAAATTTCTTATAAATGCCCTTAACAGATAAAATAAGGTATAAAGACACTATTTTGAAAAACTTAAATAGTTGCTTTATTTTTACAGCAAACAGATCTAGAACCCGAAGGGTTATTGTCGGGCAGTGGTCAGGCCTCTACTCAGACGGTCATTTCGGATGCTTCAAAAGTGAACCAACCAAAGAGACTTCATGTGAGCAACATTCCTTTTAGGTTTAGAGATCCTGATCTCAGACAGTTGTTTGGGGTGAGTATTATGAAAGAGATCGTACTTTATCTGTGGATATTAATGGTTAAAGATACATTCTAACTTTTCTAGATTTTTACATCGGTAGTTTTGTACAGTAGTGACTAAAATCATGATATAAATATGTATGTGTGTATTATATTATTTATATGTATTGATCAGAAAGAAACAAAAATATTGTGCTTGGAAAAAAGTGGGTATTTTAACGGGCTTTAAACCAAACTAAAATCAACTCATGAATTATTCATGTCATTTGAATATTATCATATTTTTTTCTGTACATTACTAACCAGAGCTTTTTTATTTTTTTTATTTTAATCCTTTATCTACCGTATTATGATTTACTTCAGTTTTTTCATGCAACATTTTCTTTTTAATCACTATAATGAAAATTAAAGGATATACTTAAACAAAATACTCAACTTTGGGAAATTTAATCCGTTAGAGCTAATTGATTAATTAAACATATTCGACTGTAAAATTAATTATATACACTGTTCACTTAAAATAAATAGTCAAATCGTTTTATAAGGTCTTCATTAATATACAAAAAAAAATTAAGACACTTAAATTTTGACATTAACTATTTTTCTGGGACAAAAACGATAATTTTCGCAATCCGCTGAAAACGCAATTACTGCTATGAAACTATTCGTTTTCTCCGCTAAAATACTCATCATAGAACCCGTGCTGCCATATTTCTTGGACGAGTGGATTTCAATGAATATTCCTGCTATGTATCATCAGAGTATTCGTAAAAATGGTTATTCTATGTAATTTTAAATTGAGTGGTACTTAAAGTACCGTCGGTAGATAAAGGGTTAAATGCAAATTGCAAACTATTTTTGGCTAAAAACAATGCCAATTACCACAACTATTTTTCAATTACTGTAATATTCATTTTAAAATTGTGCAGCTTTGTATTACTATTGAGTATTTTTAGTTAATATACCATGCTTATTTTGAAAGTAAGTATCGTTTTGAGATACTTGTGTATTTATACAGAAATGGGTTCACGTTCCAAGCATGGGGACTACGTGTCTTTATTTATTGGCTACTCTCAGACGTCATTATAGAAGAATTCAAAGACTCTGACGTGTTAGTTTAAGCAATTTTAAAATGCTTCAGACAATTGAAATTCCTGTCGATTGTGATATTTCTCTATTCTTTTTCTTAAATATAATTACGAAAACTCTCAAAAATCATAGAAATATTAGTGAAGAACATGGAGAGAACACTAAGAATACTAGAAGGATAAAAAAATGTTTGAGGATTAAAAGATGAATATATATATACTATTTGAGCCATCTTATCTTATCATTAATGATGACATTGAATAATAAGCATAAATTTGAAGTAAAATTAAGGATAGCAGATGCTACATTATTTCATACTTACCTGATGAGTTTTCACGAATTTCAAATTATTTTCCATAAAACTGTTATAAAACGCTCATATTATAGAGAGTTGTTTTTAAACTAGATTCCAAAATAGTTAAATGGCTCCATAAAACCAAACGCTTAAACAATAATTTGACTTTCCTCTTCGGAAAAAAAAGCTATAAAAACCAAATTGTTTTAGGATGTGCAGGGAGACGTTTTGGACGTTGAGCTATTGTGTTGGAATGACACGTGACTAAATTGCCATTTGTTTCAGCAATTAAAGAAACCCATTGAAAGTCAGCGTTACGACAACAACATCGAAACAACCATATAACAATAGTTAGAAAATCAGATGGTAAAACCTATTACGAGTATGCTGTTAAGGAGCTGATCTTTCGATATGATTAGGTTTCTTAAAATTTGGGGAAATTAAGCTGAAAATTAAATTCTTTGCGTTCGAACAAAATTAAGTTGCGAAAAAAATGTTTCCTTATTTATATATATATATATATATATAAACTGCATTAACTCAAAAAGCATTCCTCATACTAATCAATTTTTCCTCATACTACTTCTGAAAAGCAGAAAAAATTTATAATATTCAAAACTAAAATCAGAAAGTATATTATTTTATTTAACATCAAATATAATTTTTAAAATGAGACCCAAAATAGCACATCGAACATTTATTACAGTTCTTGTTAATTTTTTATTGTACGGAAATGAGAAAAATTATTTAATATATATGTTAATTTCTATAAATTAAAATGATATATGTTTCAGTATACTATTAAACATAAATGATGTATGCTTCTGTGCAAAATTTTGAATATTCTTAATAATATTGGAATTATTTTAGAAAAAGAAAAATGAGATCTTAGAAAATTACTCTTTAGATTTAGAAAATGAGTCTTTTGTAAATGGCACTTTAAGCCAAAAAATAATATTTTTTAAAATTCGATTTGTTTGTTGAATACATACTTATAAAGTTCCTTTTTTCATTTTTTAGCAATATGGACCTATCTTAGATGTAGAAATAATTTTTAACGAAAGAGGATCAAAGGTGAAGTATATATTAAGTTTTCTCTCATTACTGCTTTTTGCTTTCAACGCATTTTAAAATACAAAAAATATCTTAATGTCTTATCGAAAATTGTAGCAAATGTATCTTTTATTTCTAAATGAATTTATCTTTATGTCAAGTGAAAATTAAATTTACTGTTACAATCAGAATGCCTTAAAACTGCTCAAAATTCAAGCAAATAATAAATAAATTACAATTTTATGTTGCTGAAAAAATAAAACTTAGGGATATAAATGGCAGCGTTATTTCCATATTTTATTAAAATACGATGTATTTAAAATTGAATTGCTACAATTTTTTATTTCATTTTAATTTTAAACTGAAACATTGAATTTGTAATTTTAAAAAAATAATGTGTTTTCCTTTTTCTCTAAATTGAATTATTTCTGTTTCATTGATTGCAAAGATCCTAATTTTTAAAATGTATATTTAACAACTAAATACAATATTTATCTAATTCAAAATAAAAAATAGCCTTAAATTATAATATGTTATTTAGTAAATATTTCATCTAATTTCTCAAAGGATGTTAAAAATTAATGTTGTTACTTTTTGTACAAAACTCATTAGTATTTCATTTATTTATTTAAATTTATACCTTAAAAGCGCTTTTTAAAAAAGTATTAAATGCATAGACTAACAAAAAAGTATTTCTTTGAAAAATTATTTCAGTTTGTTTTATGTAGTTAATAGCATTTTTAACACATTTAAATGTAGTCAACAAATAAATTTCAAAGATTTATTTATTCATAATTAATATTTTCTAATTGATAATTAAAGTATTTCTAATTTCAAAGCTACTGAATACAATTTAATTGAAAATATGTTATTTGAATTTAAAATGAAACTATATTAATTGCTAAAATACATTGAGATTATTTATCTTGTTACATGATTTTGCACTCTTAAAGAAAGCACTTCTTGAAATAATTTTGTTCATTCCTTTGCATAGTTAAAATGAAATCCAAAACTCTTTGAAAATAAACTATGTAGACATATATAATATTATATAACTAATTAATTAAAATTCAGTATAATTAACTTAATTTAAATGTATAGATATTTATCATTAATTATTTTTTAAATAAATCAAGGAGTGATTTATTTAAGTGTGGTTCCTTTATATAAAAAAATAGAAATTTGATGAAGCTGGATAGAAACAATTTTCCACATTGAATAAAATATACATGAATTATAAATATAATTTATGTAATAAAATAATATATGTTTTCACATTAGCTTTACAACTGTAAGGTATTAGTGGCAAGTAAAAAATTATTTAAAAAAAAAAAAGTGTGTGTGTACTTATGTACGCACGTAAGAAGTTATACTTCTTTGGCGTAACAAGATTAAAATCTTTCGAAAAATCTTTAGTAGGACAAGCTGGGACAAGGACGAAAGGCGGTAACGAGCAGACTTGAACGATACTAACCTACACAGTCAATTCAACCAGCCAAACCTGAGATAATCACGATTTAAATAAATTAAAACACCCCCGCACAGGGACAATAAGACCAATATGGAGAAGGGGTCGAAGGCGGAAATGATCTGTCCCGTCCTGCATATTTCTAGACAAAGGATTTTCGTATCCGTTCCTACGGAACGCAAAGCAAAGGTTCACTGACTCGGGGATATAGCTCTGTGGTAGAACATTCGACTAGAGATCGAGAAGTCCCCGGTTCAAGCCCGGATGCTCCCTTCTTCAGGGAACTGAAGAGCAATATTTTTTTGAGTAATTCGAAGGCGGGAATGATCAGCCCCATTCTGCATACTTCTAATCAAAGCATTTTCGTATCCGTTCCTACGGAACGCAAAGCAAAGGTTCGCTGACTCCAAGGGATAGCTCAGTGGTAGAGCATTCGACTGCAGATCGAGGGGTTCCCGGTTCAAACCGGGAGTCTTCTTCTTCAGGGAAGTGAAGAGAAAAAATTTTTTTTAGGATTTTGAAGGTGGGAATGTGTGATTTGTCCCATTCTGTATATTTCTAGACAAAGCATTTTCGTAACCATGACGGTTTTGCGTCACAACCGTGACGGGGTGCGTGCGCATTATAAAAATTTACCCTCATCCTATTTCTCTAACACCCCAAAAGAAGTATAACTTCAGTAATAAATAATAAAATATTGTGAGTTTATATATACATTTTTCTTACATTCTTAAAAAGTAATATATTATTATAATTCTTTTTTGAAAGCTAAGCTGTCTTATAGAGACAAAGTATCCTTGGAAAGTTTAAATTGTGTTCTAGATGAGTATATACAAATGATATTGTCATCCATCATAATTTTTTTAATATTATATATGAAGTGAAATTTTCGAGAATGATGTATTAGTCTACGCATCAATTCAGTCTGTGTACCGCATTCCAGATTTCTTCAGAACGTACAACATAACACATATATAATCTTCATTTAATGAAATATTCATTTAATTTGAAAGCCTTTCGAAAAAGTAATATCTCTTTGTATTCTATCCAGCTTATTAAAATTTTTATAGTATATCTATTTACTATCAGAATTTAAATTTGAATGCGTATGTATGAATAGCTGGGCACTTTATTAGAAACTGTTTGCCTGTTATTGTTTTGAACTCTTTTTCCAATTTTTTTTTTCTTTCACTCCACTATTCATTAGTTGCATGGTTGCATGACATACTCTTCCTCATTATTAAAATCACTTAACTTTTCTATCATTTATTTCTTATAAGGAACTTTTCCCTAATTTCTTTTATTTCTTAATGATGCCAGTTAATGATCAAAAAAAAATTTTGGATTTTTTATTGCACGTTTACAAAATAATACTCATTTAAGCTTATAGTATTCAGGCTGTAATATGATTGCATTCAATTTGAATTTCTTCAAATATGCTTTGCTGGATATAAACGAGCGTATTAATAAATCAAAATTTCTTTTTTTATAAGTACTTAATTTACTTGTTTATAAATAAAAGATTATTTTTAAAAAAATTGCTTTAATATAATTATAAAGCATTTTTATTCATTCCTTACAAAAAACTGGCAACATTTCCTTCAAATATATTTCTTTTCACTTTCTTCAACACAAATCCCATCATTTTCAAATTTGAGTTTATCCCTGAACCTATCAATTATTTCGAGTGCTAAACACATTTTTTTTTAAATTTCATCATGTTGGCAAGAATAAATATACACCTAAAACAACATCAAGAAAAAAATATTGTGTACAGCTAAGAGTACAAGTAAGCATTATAGTTCCATAATTATTGTTTAAAATTATTATAGTTAATATTGAAAAGTTTAAACCCGAAACGGAGGTACTATTATGTTGAAAACTCTATCCTAGAAAAGTTGAATGCAAACAAAAAATAAATAAATATATAAATAAAGTTAGCAGGCTAATTAGATAATAAATAAAAAAACATATTCGAGAAAATTAATGTCATTTTATGTGTAATCTGAACTATTTCCTTGAATATTAAATTTAATAGTAATTTACTTGAAATAGCCTAAATTGCGTAAATCCAATCCTGAAAGCAAAATTATCATAACTATTTCTTTATAATTCTATGATTATTGCCAATAAAAATGTTAGAATAATGTTAATTAGGCTTTAAATTTCTAAATTATTTAACATTCCTTACTTTTATTAAAAATTATTTATTTAAAAAAAATTATTATTTAAAGTGATTAGGTTACGAAGAATATACATTGTAATATTTAAAAAGTTTATAAGTCGATTACTTTTATAAACTTAATTTTTCCTTAATGAAACAAAATAATAATTGGAGAAAGAAATGATTGAAAGTAAGCAAACATTAATTTGTATAATAACTATTAATTAGTGGAAAAATGAAAATAATTGAAAAATTAAATATCGATCAATCTAGCTTGAACTGTATTTTAAAAAGTAATTCAACAAGCGTAGTCTCTTCTTGAGAAGCTCATTATTTATAATTTATCGTTAAAATTTGTTCATAAAAGCATGAGATTAAAATTAAATAAGAAAATGGATTAGTTAAAACTTAAATAATTAATTAAAACTTTCATTTTTCTACAAAATTGAAATGATAGTCATAAAATTAATTGCTTAAACATCTCAATAGCAAAGTCATAGATTTAATGTCAAAAATTTAATTAGTTAAGTCATAGAATTAATCAGCTAAAGCAAGATTAATTAATTAATATTAAATAATATTTTTCAAAAAAAAATATTACTTAAATTTAAAATTACAACTTGCATAAGACTCTTCATTTAACTATTTTGTAACATGTTTAATATATGGAGAAATTTTAAAGTTGCTCTTTAAATTCTTGAAGAAAGGATATTTAAGGGTTATTAGAATCTAAAAATTACAGTTTAATTTATTGCCATGGTGTAAAATCTGTCATAATACGAAGTAAAGATAAAAGCTTACTACATTGGTTTCATAACAGAAAAATAAAAACACGAATATTGTTTTCTAAGTTAAGTAATGGCTTTTGTAAAGATATAAGATTACAAATTTTCCATCAACATAAAATGTATTTTTATCTTTAAAAATCTGAACAATAATCTTTTCATCAATACAGATTTAATCATGTAAAATGTTGAGACTAACAATTACTTAATACACACATTTTCGAGGGTTTTAAAATACATTCTTAAAAATACATATAAGACAAAAGTGGAGATTAAAAAAATGTTCCAATATGCGCACTCACTTCTCTTTTTATGTTTAGTTTCCTTCTATAAATCCAAGTTTATTTTTATGTCACAGTGATCAGACATGTGAACGAAAGCGAAAAAATCCAGCTCAAGGCAACCGTAAGCACCCCCTGTCACGAAACCCAACGAACTTTCCAAAACTCACGTCGAGAACAGAATGAAAAGAAATGTATAATTATGTTCAGAGTAATGGAAATAAATGTTTTATTACTGATTTAGAAAACAGCGGCTGAAGCTATTTATGTGGGTCACATGCAGAAACAATTTCGTCAAATTTTTCGAAGCAGAAATTATTCCACCGAAGTGAATACTTTGTACGAAAAAGTGATTTTCGAAGAGCTACTTATTTCGGGTAAGAGAAGTGCTCTAATCCTTTAAAAATTGGAATCGTATAGAATTAGATGAGTTTTATGTTAAGTGAACCGTTTTGTCATTATCTTTATTTTACTGAGGTGACTGGGTTTGATAAATGGGACACTTTGAAGGTAATTTTAAAGTTAAACTATATTCGTTGAAGAAGTTTATATTATATTTCTACTCACTTAAAGTCATATAATTAAATAATTATAGAAAAATTAGATCATTAAAATGTGAGAATTTTATTTTATCTACATATACTATCCATTCCTATGTTTTTATATCTAAAAAGGGAAAAAGTGATCCTAAAAGCGAAGAAAAAAATAACATACTAACTTTTTTTTATGATTAAATCTGATAGTTTGATTCATATTATTTTACACTCAAGTCAAAATACTACTTGAAAAATTCATTAATAAAGATAAAACATCCGAAGAAGTTTGCAATGTTTTATAAATTCTAACTATACAAATTTATGCGAATACAAGATTCTTGAAAAAAAAATGTTTTTTAATGCTGTACTTTTTCAACAAAATTAGAATATTGGATCAAAATCAAAAATAAAATTTTATTTTAAAGCATTTCAAGCAAAAGAATTTTAAAATATAATTCAATAATTAAAATAAACGATTTCATTACTATGATCCGTAACTCCTTTTATCTGTGTATTATTTAAAAAAAATTGATGTCTATAATAATACTTAATATGTTTTTTATTATTAATTGATTTATATTCAATTTAACACTATTTTTACTTTTTATATAAGCACATAATTCCTTAAAGCAAGAGTTATAGGTAAAATATAATTAAAAAATGTATTAATTTATATTAATTATCTTCTAAACTAAACTACATTGTTTTGCACTTCAATTTACTTAAAATTACATAAACATACAATGATTATTCTATATATTTTTCATTTACTTTGAATTATTCAATAATAATTTTTCAGAAAGTATACTCTAGATTTTATATAATTCAATCTATTAATATATATTACAATTAAGGCAAAAAAAATTAATCCTTATTGATCTTATAAACTAAACGTGTACATAAGAAATCCGAGTTCAGGATATTTACACGGATGAAGAAACAATTGCATAAATAAAAATGCTAAGATTATGAAAGATTAATCATGTATGTAATACACTTCTTTGAATACATAATGGCCAGTAATGAATACACATTGTCTGATCACTGGGATATTTAGAGAGCACTGTGCCATTCAAGTGTAGCAAGGTGCATGGGCGTTAACGTGTAGGTGTGTGAATGTGACTATAAAAAAGAGTAGGTGTGTGAAAATGATGGAAAGAGAGTAAGAAAGAAAGGAAATTTGATTCTCTATGATAATATGATGCAGAGTTTTATTAGTGGTACATGTTCTTTACTCAGGATGCACGGATTTTAATGCATGTTTCTTGTTTCTTGTCTTATGCATGCAGGGTTTCGGTTTTGTAACATTCGCAAATAGCCTCGATGCTGATAGAGCACGTGACCAATTGAACGGCACGGTGGTAGAGGGAAGAAAAATCGAGGTGCATGTTCCATTTCTTTTTACTTATGAACATTTTTTATGTGATAATAGCACTTCACAGGTTTTTATTGACTATGAGCGTGCTTCTATAGTAGCTATTTAGAGCTATTGCCAAAGAAATGTCTA